AGGGACGAACTATAGGAATGAACCCAGAAATCCCAGCATAAAGAAAACCAGACATAGAATAGAAAACCAAAAACCAAGAAAAACTAAACAAGAATTGTAACAAGAGTACTGGATACCAGAAGCCATTGCCAGACATCTTCACAGAACAGAGCAGGACAAGACACATCCAGAGTCTTGCAACTGTGCATAAACCTTCTATTCGGCCACCACTAACCAATGCTCACAAGCTGAAACGGCTGCATTGGGCAGAAAAATACATGAAGATTCATTTTTTAAACAGTCCTGTTCACTGATGAGTGCCGTGCAACCCTGGATGGTCCAGATGGATGGAGTAGTGGATGGTTGGTGGACGGCCACCCTTTTCCAACAAGGCTGCGACGTCAGCAAGGCCGGTTTGGGCCGGAATCATGGGAAGAGAACTGGTCGGCCCCTTTAGGGTCTCCGAAGGTGCAAAGATGACCTCTGCAAAGTATGTGGAGTTTCTGACTGACCACTTTCTTCCCTGGTACAGAAGGAAGAACTATGCTTTCCGTAATAAAATCATCTTCATGCATGACAATGCACCATCTCATGCTGCTAAGCATCAATGGCTGCTATGGGGATAAAAGGAGAGAAAGTCATGGTGTGGCCTCCATCCTCCCCTGACCTCAATCCTAATGAGAACCTTTGGAGCATCCTGAAGCAAAAGATCTCTGAAGTTGGGAGGCAGTTTACATCCAAACAGCAGCTCTGGGAGGCTATTCTGACATCTTGCAAACAAATTCAAGTAGAAACTGTCCAAAAACTCACAAGTTCAATGGATGCAAGACTTGTGAAGCTGCTATCCAATAAGGGTTCCTATGTTAAAATGTAACGTGACCTGTTAAAATGTTTAAAAAGTTAAAATGTTGTTATAAGTTTGATTGAAATAGCTTTCGATTTCAGTAAATATGCTGCAAACACAACAAATGACAATTTTCAGTTCTTTACAACCTATAAAGTGTTTTGAAACTTAGTGTGCGTAATAATTTGGAACAGTGCATTGTAAGTTTATGTTTAAAAAAAATGCTGTTATCATTAGGAAGTTTGTTCAATAAAATTTGAATTGTACTCTTTATAGTTGATAACATGAGGGGGCGGGGCTTAGCCATTTCGGGAGCTCTGCAGCTTTCACGGCGAAACCCGCCAAATATCTATACCCCTGACAGCCATCGACTCACCCGGGGCCAACAGCTGCAGGAGTGGGGGAGGCACACACTGATGCCTTTCTTTCAGTCGCCGGGCGCAAAACCAAAACGTCGGCCCCACAGGGCCTCCCACGCGGCCAGCCAGAAAACCGCGACGAATGCTTTTGCAGCCTGGTGGGATGAGGACTGGCTGACACCTGAGGACCGGGAGGCACAGTCCCAAGAATTGGCAGCTATGGGAAAGAAGACCCCAAAACCCCAGGTACATACACCAGGGAAAACACGAGACATAGGCACTCTGCTCCAACACCCACCCAAACACAGGGGGCAAGATCAGGCCACAGCTGAGGCCTCTGACACCCAAGAAGCAGAAGGGAGGATGGCACACACCCCAGGGTATCCCATAGATAGGTTCCCAGCCACGTCTACCCCAGCAAACCTGGTCCCAGCGACAAAGTTAGACATTGACAATCTCTTTATCAAAATACAGCAGTTGTTCGCAGCAGACATGGCCGCGGTACGGACAGAAGTACAAGCGGTTACAACCCGCGTCCAAACCTCCGAAACAGACATCATCAACCTACAACACAATCTGGCAATAGTGGGAGACTCGGTCAGGCAACTACAAGCTCTCCATTCCACCCTGACATTGAAAGTGGACGCCCTGGATGAAAGAACCTGCCAGAAGAACTTGAAGATAAGAAGGGTCCCAGATAACGTGAGGTTAGAAGAACTTCCCCACTATATCACGAGGCTAGTAAACACACTCCTCCCAGCAAAATTAGCCAAACAATTTGTAACCGATGGGGCATACCGCATTGCCAAATCCACTAAGGCACCACTCACAGCCCCAAGGGACATAATCCTGCGCTGCAGGACACGGCAAGATAAACAAGCACTGATGAGAGCAGCCCAGGACAGAGCACCTCTGGAATTTGAATTTGAAAATATCGATCTTCCATGATCTGCATCGCTCCACCTTGATATGGAGGAAAACCATGAAACCCATAACAACACGACTTCAAGAGGCAGGAATGCTCTATAAATGGACTACCCCTAGGGCCCTTACAGTCATCAAAGACGGCAAGCAACACAAAGCCACAGACGTGGCGGAAGCCACCACCTTCCTGGCAGCGATAGGATTGGACACTGGCCCGCCAGAGCAGGGGGCACAAGCCACCACCAGCACCTGGGACGTGGACAACATCACGCCCTTTGCACCAAAAAGTGCACTAAATTCTGTGACATGAAAGAACAAATCAACAGAAAAGCATCTTCCTCCACACTATGCAACACACCTATCCCACGATTTACTCAACCCCGAAAAAGTCTGTGCCAAACTGTGAAGAATGCCATCAAAGACTCTCATTGACCCCTTTCCCTCCTCCCCCGTTACCCCATAGGTTAGGGGTTCAGATCAACCTCCACAACCCAGGGCTGACCCTAGACCCTCAACATACCTACTGGGAGCTGACACTCATTAGCCATAGGCGAGAAACGAGAGCATACCCTGTAGACGACTACCAGTCTCCCTTTATATCGACAAACTATAGCGACGGACTTAGCCATACACACTAGAATGTGACGAGACAGGCCCATTACACACAACTACAGGGCGCATAACACAAAACCAGTTTCCCCGACTACGAGTTATTGTTGCACGCTTGTTGTGAGAGGTATTGCTGTTAACGTATTTGACTAGCCTAATCTAAAAAACAAAAAAACAGGTGTACGAAATATCAAATTGTCACTGTAACCAAATATATATATGCACAATTATATGCTTTAAAAAAAACTTTCTCTGACCTGCAAAAATAAAGAATTATAAAAGAAAATTGTTGATAACATGAGAATTATGCTGACTGTTATTGACATCAATTATTTAGGTAAATGAGAAAAATATAATTTGCATAATAATTTGGAACAGGGTGTACATAGTATACAAGGTATAGGATCTGGAATTTTTACAACCCACACATCATTTAAAAAACAAACAAAATAAGGATCACATGTATACAGTAGGATGGACATTCACAAATTATTGTTCACTTCCCTTTTGCTGCGCAAGGGTTAACAGTAAAAAGTGGAAAAAAATAATACAGAAAATCCATACAAAATTACAGTACCCCAAAAGTGTACCCACCATACTCAGGAACCCCACAAAACGTACATCCCCCAATAGCCCCGATCTGAGTAAATAACATATCCAAAGATCACTCAGATTGGTTCAGTGGAACGAGAATGCCATCGAGGTAAAGTTTTGACCAGCCAGACATGAGGCGCTGGCCCAAAACAGTTCCAGGAGAATAGGTGTTCTGGCCGGTCTCTGTTCGTGGAGTTCCTGTGCGAACACCATGCAAGGGAATCTCTTCATTTCAGGATACGAATGCTCTTCCTGTTTGGTAGTTCATATCTCCCGAACGTTATTCATATAGGTGGTCGGGAAATGGAACAGGCGGCCGTCTAAGTTTTACAGACGACCAAGTACCGCTGCCCACGTTCAGGAGACAAGATGGCTACCCAAGGGCATTCATTAATTACTTCCCTTGCGGTTTCGCACTTAAGTTGCTGGTGGAAACGTTCTAATGGGGTACAGGAGTGGTCCTTGTTCGGGAGACGAATGAATATTGTTCTCCCAAATGGAAAAAGGGTAAAGCAAACTAAATGAGGGGAAAACACACGAAATAGGTGGCAAGCTCTGCCACATTACGTGCTGGCTGTTCATCTTAACACCCCAGTAGTACTGGCCTATTACTGCCCATTTGCTACAATTACCTGGGGAGGCTGTTACTGGTAAGTTCTCTGTGGTTGTGGGCACTAGGTGAGGCATAATAATGGGGTTAGACAGTCAGGTAGCCAACTGCCACACTGTTATAGCTTGTGCTGTCGAGAGTTTGTTATAAATAGAGGCCAGTAGTTAAAATATCTATTTGCTGGTAGGCAGTGCTAGCAGCCAGCAGGCAAATTATTCAGATTTTTAAAATCCGGGCTATGTTTTAAGCATCTGGCCTTGAATTTAAGCCATCCAGGTGTGGTTTTAATTTTCTAGATCAATTTCAGGTCATTCAAAACAGTTTTTCAGTCTGAAAGGCAAGGCCCTGTACACCAATAAATGGTTTTGCCCCATTTGTTTTGGAGCCATTCTGACTTTAGTAAATAGACCCCATCCTCTCAAATTCTTACAGGATTATTCACTAAAGTGAGAAATGTTTGTAATTCAAAGCGAATGTAAAATTTATGGCCTAAACAAATGAACTGGCAACATTTCCAGTTTAAGCCTCAAATTTGAATTCTTATTTTAGTGAATAACCCTACTGGAATTAGCGAGATTATTTAAAGGGGCCCAAATACAAAATAAATACATTTCTGTTTAGTAGATATACCCTTTAATTTAATTATGCATTTTGTTCATTACGGGTATATCAAAAAACAACTTGCAAAAGTGTCAGATCTCTTATCTATCTATTTTTTAAACCCTCCCATTCTTCTACATCCCAGACTATCTGTGACAGTCCAATCGCAGACTTCCTAATCGCAGCTAAATAGAAAGTCGGCAGGATCAGTTGAGGGCTCCTAACTGTTTTCCTGGCTGACTGTCCCCTGTAATTCAGAAAAGAAAATTATTATTATTATTAAAAAAAAATAAAAAAATTTTGGCAGATCACCTAAACGACGAATCTACCTTGAGCCTGTGCATCTCGCTGTTATGGCTGCCCCAGCTGCTGACTTGCAGAGGCTTCTGCAAGCTTACCTCGAGGCCCACGGTTGAGGGGCCCTGGATGAATTAATGTCGGGGGTGAGGAGCGTGGCCCTGGAGGAAGGGGAGGCGTCCGGTCAGCCTGTGGCATCTTGCGGATGGAGGGCCAGGAGATCAAGGCCTCCGTCACGCCTTTCCCTGAGCCTGGTCCCGCAGCGTGAGAGGAGACGTAGTGGCGCCTTGGCCGCGCACTTGGAGCGGTCATCGGTCCCCAGGAGGCGACGGAGTCCGGCTGCTGAAAGTGTCCGGGCCCAAGATGGTGGCTGTGGCAATGGCGCAGGTGAGGCCAGAAGATCGCGCAGCCCGCGCTCTTCTCTTCCGGCCCAACCGGACGTGACATCAGCGCGCACGCCACACAGCGTGTGCATGCTGGATGAAGACGTCAGGACGCAAGGCGCGTACGTGACGGCATCGCGCAGGAGAGCGCAGCTGTCACAGACCTTGCGTTCCACCGTGCGTTCCACAGTGATTACGCTAGTGCTGGAGCTGGTGGCCAGCAGTGGACACAGCGGAAGATTGCGGTCGGGCCAGGAGGCTGACCGCGGGTCCCCCCATACCTCGGCAGGGTCCATTTCTGGATCGGAGGAGGAGGCATCCCAGCATCCTCAGGCAGCCAATGGTGAGTGTTGCGCCAGCGCTTGGGATGCACAGGCGGGAGACAGGGATAGTAGTGGGTTTGGGGGGAAGAGGTGCTGTGGTTGCTTAGGGCAGTTTTTGAGAGGCTCCCAGGCCCAGCTGCTAGCGTGCTCCCTTCCCAGTCCTGGGATCAGAGTAGGCATGTGGGGGTGCGTTCTTGGGGGGTGCGGGGGTGCTTGCCGGGTTGCGAGTTGTCCCCCCCTAGGTATGCATAAATATTGTTCTCCCCAATGGAAAAAGAGGTTAAGGAGAAGATCATAAAAGGTGAGTACGTAGACATACTGTCCCTGGTCCCTCCGGACCGGGAATCAGTGGAAAGACCACGACGGGGTGAGGCGGCAGACGGCGAGAAGAGCAAGCAGCTGCCGCGTACGTTTGGGAACTGGCTTCAAGGGTTCTCAATATTTGCGAGTGTGCTGACGCGGGCCTTCCCTGAGAAGGCACCGGCGTTGTTTGGATACTTAGACCTTATATGGGGGGCGTACAAGGTTTATGGGGGTCAATGCTGGTTCCGCTATGACCAACAATTTCGCCAGAAGATGGCGGTGTGTCCGGGTATGGACTTTGGGGTACAGGACGGGAGCCTTTGACTCTTGTTGATGACCCCCAGTCGTCCGTCCCCCTTTCCTGGAGTGGCCGACACACTGTCCAGTGCGCCGGCTAGGCAGTGCAGGGGCGTCTGTTGGCACTACAATGAGAGCCATTGCAAGTGGTTTGGATCGTGTCGATTCAGACACGAGTGCTCTCATTGTGGAGGGGCCCACCCTGCCCTGCGCTGCTTCAAGAAGGGTAAGCAAGGTGGGAGGCCCACTAGGGTGGATCTCCCTAGAGGGGAGGACTCCGGTGAGCATCCTAAGGATGCGCCCTTAGCTCGACAAGTACCCCAAGCGTAAGAATGCAGAGGTCCTGCTGGAGGGGTTTTTGGTAGGGTTTTGGATTCCGTTTGTTCATTCGGATTCCCCTTCGTTAGCGGACAATCTGCGTTCGGTAGTGGGTAAAGAAGGGATATTAGAGGGGAAGTTGATGAAGGAAGTTCATTTGGGCAGGATGGCCGGCCCATTTGATACACCGCCATTTCCCAATTTGCGGGTATCCCCGCTGGGGTTGGTCCCTAAGAAGGAGCCTGGATCCTTTCGTCTAATTCACCACCTGTCCTACCCGTCCAGTGGGTCGGTGAACGTTGACATTGACAGGGAGGTGTCGGACGTTCGCTATTCCTTCTTTGATCGGGCTCTGGAGTTGGTCCGGGAAGCAGGGAGGGAAGCTCAGTTGGCCAGTCGGACATCTAGTCCTCTTTCTGACTGCTCCCGGTCCACCCGGACTATTTTCACCTGTTGGGTTGCCAGTTTCAGGGTCCCTTTTTCATTTATATGTGTTTGCCAATGGGATACGCTATCTCCTGTTCTTATTTTGAGATGTTCGCTTCCTTTTTGGAATGGGTGGTTGCTCGGGTTTCCGGGTTAGCATCGCTAACTCACTATTTAGATAATTTCTTGTTTGTGGGCCCACGGGAGTCGGATGACTACGTGGGGCTCTTAGATTCATTTAGAGCCGTCGCGTCGGAGTTTGGTGTGCCAATCGCGGGGGAAAAGACGGTTGGGCCGGTGGGGGTTCTGTCCTACCTGGGTATTGAAGTGGACTCACGGAGTATGGTTTTCCGGTTGCCGGAAGAGAAACTGATCCACCTGCTATGTCTGGTGGATTCGGTTAAAGGAGCGAAAAAGGTACAGCTACGGCAGTTACAGGCATTGCTAGGGCATCTGAACTTTGCCTGTCGGGTACTACCGATGGGCAGGGCTTTTTGCCGGTGCCTTTCATTAGCGACGGTTGGAGTCAAACAGCCGTTTCACTTCATTCGGATCATCCACAGACATCGAGAGGATCTGCAAGTTTGGAGCTCATTCTTGGGTAGGTACAATGGTCAATCTTGCTGGCTGCGCCCGGCGGTGTCCAATATGGATTTGAAGTTGTACACCGACGCATCCGGGGCAGTGGGCTTTAGGGCCTACTTTCAAGGACGATGGTGCGCGGAGGCCTGGCCCCGCCACTGGCTGGAGACCGAATTGGAAGGTAACCTAACGTTCCTGGAGCTCTTTCCCATTGTCGTGGCGGTGGAACTATGGGGTTCAGAACTGGCAAGCCGGAAGGTGGTGGTGCACACGGACAACATGAGTGTTGTCCATGTGATCAACCGGTCTTCGTCTTCATCCCCTCCGGTTTTGTCGCTTCTGAGGCGCTTAGTCTTGCTTAGTTTAGAGTGGAATTTGTGGTTGGTTGCGCGGCATGTTATAGCCGACTCTCTCTCTTGGTTTCAGTGGGAACGGTTTCGAGAGGCGGTTCCAGTGGCGGCCCGGACTGGAACCTTGTGCCTGGCGGGCGTCTGGGACCTGGTTTCCACAATCTGAGCCGGTTGGTGAGGGGGTTGCTGGCTGTGTCCACGTGGAGATCGTACTCTGCAGTATGGCGGAGATGGACGGATGTCTGCAGTGATAGGGAAGTGTCCTCGGAGGAAGGTAGGTTGTTGGCTACGTTGGCTTTGTTGGAGTTGCTCTGCGAGGAGGGTAAGTCGGCAGCGGCGGCTGAGAGAACGTTATTGGCCTTGTCGTTCCTGTTCCAGTGGTGTGGGTGGCAGGATGCTACTAAGGCGTTCTGCGTCGCACAGGTCATGAAGGGATGGAAGAGAGATCACAGGCCGGACGCTCGGTGTCCCATCTCCTATGAGATCCTGTGCGAACTATTGGAGCGGCTACCGCAGATCTGCGTGTCGAACTACCAGGTGCTCCTGTTTTGGGCCGCGTTTGTCATTTGCTTCTTTGCTGCCCTGCGGGTCGGCGAGTTGGTGGCCCCAAGTACGAGGGCACCAGCCGCCATGCAAATGGCGGATATCAAGGTTTCTACTGGGGACGTCGCGTTGTTCATCCGGAGGTCAAAGATGGATCAGATGGGGGCGGGCGCCTCGGTTCAGATTAAGGCTACTGATCAGCAGTTCTGCCCAGTCAGGTTGCTGCGGGAGTTCTTGGAGGTACGTGGGATGGCAGCAGGGTCGCTGTTCAGGCATCGGGATGGGTCATCACTCAGCCGATTTCAATTCGCCAGAGTGCTTCGGGCTGGGGTGATAAGTATTGGCTTGTCTCCCGGACGTTATACCACGCACTCCTTCTGGATTGGGGCGGCTACTCAGGCGAGTATGCTGGGTCTTCCATCAGAGGCTCTCAAGTGGTTGGGGCGCTGGCAGTCGGGGCGGTTCCAGCTTTATGTGCGCCCTCACTTGCTATAGGCCAGCGGCGCAGCGCAGTTATGGTTTTTGTTGTTTCGTTGTAGGTTCTTCCCCACGTTTTATTTGGATAATCGGACATTCCTTTGTGTATTGGGCAGCTAGATGGGCCAAGAGTAGACCCTATGGCCGGAACCTCGGTTTACCATACGAGATAGCAAGGGTACATTGGAGGGGTATCCGGGGGCTGTCCTGGGACGGGTTATATGCTGAGCTGATTCAGCTCAGGCGCTACGTGTCGGGGCCGGTGACCCTGGTGACCCACGTGGGCGGGAACAATGTCGGACGGTGACGGTCGGTGGACCTGGTGCACGCGATGCGGCATGACGTGGCCCGCTGTGTCACGTTGTTCGGGGACCTGGCCCTCGTCTGGTCCGAGATTGTGTCCTGCCCGGTTTGGCGAACCGAGGGAAAGGGTAAGGCCCTAGAGCGCTATAGGCGGAAGGTCAATATGACCATGGCCCGGTTCGTGCGCCACCTGGGTGGTATACTAGTAAGGCACGTTGAATTGGAAGTGGACAATGATGCACTAATGAGGCGAGATGGTGTACACTTATACCCCATTGGGTTGGACATCTTTAACATGGGCCTGCAAGCATTTACAAATAATGCATCAACATTTAGTTGATCAACCTATCATTCCTTTGAAAATATGTAATAGTTTGTCTCATTGTTAAATTGTCACTTTTATTGCATTGTAAATTGCTGCAGAATAATTAGCTCTATGTTAAAGTCAATAATAATAGTGCAAGACAAAAGTCCATTGCATATCTTGAATATGCATTTTGCTAGATTTTCTTGTTTTCTATTTTAAAGGATCAATGTAATGTTACAGCTACAAATATGTATTACTAACGATACAGCATTCTACTCACTATTTAGATTATAGTACCTGGCGTCCGCTTACCTTTAGGGGTTGAACCATTCAAGTTAAAGGGAAATGCCAGTGCCAGGAAAACAATCCGTTTTCCTGGCACTGCAGGTCCCCTCTCCCTCCCACCTCCCATCCCCAGTTGCTGAAGGGGTGAAAACCCCTTCAGTAACTTACCTGAGGCAGCGATGATGTCCCTCGTCGCTGCTTCCTCCTCCGCCGCCATTCTTCCTCTGCATTGCGTCGGCCGGTGGGCGAGACTGATCCCGCCCACCGGCCGGTGAGACCTATGCCATGCCGCGCATGCGCATTAGTG